AGGATACAACTTTTTGATCAAACTTCTTGATTAAAAAGGGGGTAGGTCAACTTTCTTACAAGTTGATCTTGCAAGTCCTATTGTTCGGACCTTGCAGTTGTTGAAGAAGCGTGACCTTCGAAGGAACAACAAAGCCAGCACGAGTGCAGTAGCAACATTGGTCTTGCGAAGATATACCGTGCAGAAATTCACACAAGTGTAATTGTTGGTTCATTATTCAACAACCAACTACATAGTGGATTTTGAGGACGTAGAAGGATTACCCCACCTTCGAACCTCGTTAAAGTTTGCGTGTCTCTCTCTTTTATCTTTACTCTTACTTGCAATTACATTAACTGTGAAAACTAACCCATCCATATTGATTACTGCTCACTCTACCCACCAAATTCCGCACACAATCTAAAGTTCTCAAGAACTCTAGATTAACATTTATTTTCACGTTTTCCAAAGAAACGAAAAAGATTTTAAATTTGTAACAAAGTCTATTCACCCCCCCCCCTCTAAACTTTGTATCTCACCACTTTGGGACCACCAGTTTTGAAGTATGGGTTTATGGTGAGAGGACGTGGGATGTGGAGGGGATGAAGGAGTGGGGAGTAAAGGTGGGTATGAAGAAGAGGTTCTCATTTGGGCAGCCTTGCCTTTCTTGATTTGGCTTTCAACTTTGAGAGCCAACTTTGTAAGATCGTCAAGGGTTTGGTAGTCTTGCAGTTCCACGATGTTAGCTATTTGGACATTCAATCCAAATACATACCTCACAAAAGTTTGTGAATCATCTTCTTGAAGATCACACCTTAATAAGAGTTCCTCGAACTCTCGGTTGTATTCCTCTACAGAACGAGGGCCTTGCTTCAAGTGTTGAAGCTTAGCAAAGTTTTCTTGTATGTAGTTCTCGAGTAGAAACTTCTTCTTCAAGAGTGTTCGCATCTTGTTCCACGTGGTCACCGGGGACTTGTTTTCTCTTCTACGCCTAATGGTGACGTTGGTCCACCATGTTGACGCATACTTTCTGAACTTTAAGGCCACGAGTTTGACCTTCTTCCCTTCGGACACATTCTTGAAATCAAAGACACGTTCAACGGTCTCTAACCATTCAAGAAAGTCATCAGGGTCGTTCTTTCCTTCAAAACTGGGCATGTCTACCTTGAAATCAGAGGCTGACTTCTCTGGATTTCTAGTTCTTATGGTAGCAACAGAACTAGCATCATCTTCATCTTCACTTTGTTCAGGAGTTTGAACCATACTCATCTTGAATTTAGTGAGCTTTGCCACTTCTTTTGCCAAGTATTCAACTTGAGCCTTTAATTCTGCATTTGAAGCAATAAGCTCTTCTTAGGACATGTTTTGAGTTGTGTGAGACATGGTTTAAAAGAAATAGGTGTAGGGAAAGAGGGGTGTAGGTGAAGAAAATTTAGCAGGGGAAGATAGTCGATTATCTGAGTTTGATAATCGATTATCGATGCTATCAGGATCAAGATTGGGAAAGAAAGAAAGAAAGAAAGAAAGAAAGAAAGAGAGGGAAGTCTTTGTGGTCCTCAAAGAGATGTTCAACAACAAGCTTTGATACCAAATGTTGTACCCGAGACCCGGGGTGGTCTAGGATATCAATTTAAGAAGAGAAAGAAGAAGAGAAGGTGTAGAAATATAGGGGAGGCTGAATTCAGGAGAAAACAAGGGAGTGAGAAAGAAGCATTTATCAAGTGAATAATAAGAGGAATCACACACACTTATCTTCACTCGGGTTAAACTCTAGTATTTAAATAAGGAATCACTCAACTTATTTAATATATCTAGAACCTAAAACTCCCACTTAAGAGAACCACTCTTAAGATATAGAATTAGGATTTAATATAGAGTACTTAGAGAGAGAACTGAGCAAGAAACTTATATTATCACAATATATTTTACAAGCTGATTA